CCCCAAAACCCCAAAACCCCAAACTATGCTTGAGAATATAAAAGAATTAGAATTAGATAAAATAAAAATAATTTCATAGATTGATTACAAATTATAATCATTCAACTTCTTCCTTGAGGGAATCTGATTCTTCTATGTTTTTGATTCTTTGGAATAATTACAAGTTGCATCTTAACAATTTAATATCCTTGATATTTCTTTTTTAGTAATCACTTCTCTCTGTAATTTGATACAGCATTGATATTCTCTTTAATTCTATTATTTTATTCAGCATTTTAAACACTCTATCAACGATCTCTAATACAAATTTTCCAAATTATATTTCCCTTTTAAATTAAGTAAGATCGGTTTCAGTTTGCTTTTCAATGAATTTGTTAATGTGCATTTACAATCTCAAGCAAATTTTCTTTGATGAGTTACCTATCTTTAAGTATTAAATTTTCAGATCATAATTATATTCTAGCCTGTCCAAAAATTCCTCATAAAATATCCTGTTTTCGTGTTAGGTTAAAGCTGTAAAGTTTCTCTTTTTAAAATTCTCTATAATATCCGACTAAATGATGGTATTTAAGTGTTCAAAAATAATTTTGAGAGGTTTTTCCATATCATATTTCTTGAAAAGTTTTAAATCCCCTAATTATTGAATTGAAGAAGTATCTTCTTTCATCTCCTTCAAGATTCTAGATTAAATAGTTTGTTTTAGATCTCTGATGACTAATTTCTTATTTTAGATTTCTTCTAATTACTTTTCGTTATATTAAGTTTCAATTGCATTCATACACCGATCAACTATATCCTAAGATTCAATTTGTAATAGATCTATCCCAATCTTAACTGCCTCATCAAATTTTTTGCTGACCTGTCTCACCTGAAATGCTTAACTTAGCTTAAGATATTAGGTTATATTTGAAATTGCAAATTTCGACAGTTTTTCCATAGAACTAATACTAGTTTTATCCATTGAATTTTTTGATATTTTTAAATAAATATTGATAAAATTTAAATACTTATATGCTATCCATGATGAATCACTCTTAGTGGGGTTTTGGGGTTTTGGGG